TATCTCTGGCTCTACATTGTGCTTTAAAATGGCCAGGTTTCCCACAATTGAAGCAGTTTCCGGCTGGCCTGTTTTGAGAATTTGCTTGCTGCAAGGCCATGGCCAGATGCTCCATATTGTAAGAGACAGTTCCCACGATTCTGCAAGCCTTTAGATAGTCCGAGAGGGAAGCCCCCCCTCGGGCAGATAGAGGCTGCAGAATCCTTTTGCAATGCTCATTTGCATTTTCAACAGCCAGTTTTAACAGAAGCTCTTTACGGGCTTCTTCATTCGAGATTTGCCTCTGAATGGCTTTCTGAAGCTCCTCTACAAACTCAGCATAGGGCTGATGTGAGCCTTGAGTAATTTTTGAAAAAGATCCTATGATGCCAGAGGTAGGATCATCGACTTTGTCAAGGGCTTTGACTGCTATGATACTGATAGAGGCAAGAATACGTTGTGGGAGAGTCGCCTGAGCTGCTAAGTCCATATATCGCCCCGCACCGAAGATTTGATCCGCTCTCGCGACCGCGCCACGATTGCGGGCAAATCTCTCAGCTTCGGCGCGAAAGTCTGACTCCCAAACAACATACTGTGGTCCAGTCAGTATCATACGGAAAAGATCTTTCCAATCTTGGGGTAACATGAAAAAGGAGGTGCTGATGGTGTTAATGAAGCCTCTGACATATGGTGCCTGGATGCCGTACATGGCCACGGCTTGTTTTAAATCTCTGATTAATTTCATGGGTAAAGGTTCAAGTCTAGGCACCATATTTCCGGCTCCATCCCCTATATATTCAACAGGACAGAGAGAGAGCTCCTCCAGGGTGAGAGAGCCCTCCCTACGTCCCTGCGCCATGGCTTGTGCTATCGCTCCCATGGGTGTTTGATCCTCCGCAGAATTTAAGTTAGGAGGATTTATGGGTTTAGGAGCTGTGGGAGAGGAAGCTTCTAACGGGAAAGCGTCCTTTGTTTTGGTTTCAGCTGTATAAGGAGAAGGACCCGGGGGGGCTTTTGTCAGTGCTAAACCATGGATTTTTAAACATTCCATGACTATTCTCCATGTGGTCAGAATCTTTGGCGGAGCCCTGGGGTTATCATGAAGATAATCACCCAAACGTTGCCATGTGGAGACTTTCAAGGACCCTTTCTCCGGATAAGCCGGGCATTGTGTGTAAATGTAAGTCAAAAGGGTGATAAGGTCCTTCTTAGTTGGAACCGGGAGCGTTTTGCCCTGATTCCTAAGAATAAGAATTGAACTCTTCGTTAATTCTCCTAATTCCTGCAAATGTGCTATCTGCGCTTTGGAGAACTTTCCGCCCATACTCACCTGAAGGGAGGATGTCTTCTTTGCAGAAGATTCCTGGGGAGGGATCCGTGACACGAAACGGTGTCCCTGGGTTGCAACTGGCTCGTCCGGCCGGGTGAGATAAGCAGTCGAAGATAAACGCACCCGTTTCTTTTAACGGATCACGTCGGGGTCACCAGATGCGGCTTTGCTCTGCATTTGGAAGGCTGCCCACTGGGTGGTCGAATGCATCAAGAAAGACACCAGTGCATGTTGTGACTACGGGAGTTTTTGAAACTGGTTGCTGTAAATCTCAGAGTTCTTATCTTGCTCCCGGACCTTCAGGATTAATTAAGAAAACTTTACCAGAGCTGTGGGATGTTTCAATCAGGTTTTATTCAGGAAGCTAACTCATCCTCAGGACATGTTGTGACTACGGGAGTTTTTGAAACTGTTTGCTTTAAATCTCAGAGTTCTTGTCTTGCTCCCGGACCTTCAGGATTAATTAGTAAAACTAACCGGAGTTGTGGGGAGGTTTCAATCAGGGTTTACTGGGGAAGCGGACACACCCCCAGGACATAAAAGGAAGTGTGTCAGCCCACAAGCTTTGTCCGGGTCAAACTGTTACAAACTGTTTAATTGGTTACAAACTGTTCTCACTGTGAATCTGTTATGACCGTCATACTTGTCGTCTTAACATTCTGTTAAACTGTGAGTTTTTGGAAGAGACGTTATTGCTGGTGTAGAAGATAACTTCAAAGGTATTTTGCTATCTGGTCTGGCCGACAGTTTCTGGGAGAACTGCTAACGATAATTTACTGTCGGAGTGAATTTGGCTCTTCAGTCCATGTGTTTTCCAGCTTGTCAAACTGTTGTTACTGTAAGAGTCATTCTGCTAAGTCTGTTATCTCGTGATCCTATTGTCTGGTCATCTTGTGAATATATTATTCTGGGAGAGCTGCTAATGAGAGAATGAAATAAACTTCAGAGGTGTTTTTGCTACCTGGTCTGGCTGACAGTTTCTTGGGAGAGCTGCCAACGACAATTTACTGCCAGAGTGAATTTGGCTCTTCAGTCCCGGTGTTTTTCCAGCTGGTTTACTGTGGCATTCTAGTCTCTCACTTTGTGGCCTGGGATGGGACAGAACAAGTGCAGGTTCTATCTTGGATGAGCTGCCCCGATCATAAGTTCGGGAAGCTCTTTTATTAAAAAACACACAGTGATACGTCACAAGCAGTGAATTCTATCCAATCATTAAGTTACATGAGAAGGAATATTAGTGCACACATAGTAACATCCAATCAGTTACATGGTCAGTGTGAAAGGTACAAGGTAACAAATCAGCGCCTGCATTACAGTTATTCGCCCATGATGACGTGTTTGTTGATTAATGATCTCTGTTCCTGGTACGCTTTCAGCCTACGTGAGGCCTAGAGGCCTTGAGGCCTGGTATGTACCGAAACTATAGAAACTAATTTATTACTGCAGGTTTCCAATTTTTTTTAAGAGCTGTAACCATCAGAGGAGAACGCTGTAATTCCCCTTAGTCAAGTTTTTGGTGACCAATTGTTTATGATTAATTTTCCCATGTTCTTCTTTTGTTGTACTTGTGTTTTGGTCTGTGACCGCAAATAAAGTATTAATATTATTATTATTATACTAAGCTGGTGGCAACCTTGCCAGCCCTTATTAGGGCAATCCCAGTTAGAGTCCAGTGTTACTTGGATGATATACTGGTCCAGTCAACTTCCCCATCTAGGGCAGCAGAAGATTTGGATATCACCATTCAAGTTCTCCAAGAGCACGGCTTCTCTGTCAAAGAGGCCAAAAAAGCCACTTTACTCCCACCAATTCCTTACTCCATCTGGGAGCTGTATTAGATACTTTTTCCTGCAAGGTGTCCTTGTCCCAGGAACGTCAGGAGAGTATCAGTTAATTGGCCATATAAAATCTAACCCGAGAGTGCCCCTGGCTACGCTTTCCAAGCTCCTGGGGAAAATGATATCATGCATTAATATAGTGCCATGGGTTAGATTCCATGCCAGGTCGCTCCAATGGTTTCTTCTACCTTATCAGAAGACAGGTAAGAGTTGTTCCTCTTTCAGGTCAGATTAACTCTGTTGGTCCTTAAATTTTTTCGATGGGGGTCATCTGAGGCGTTTTCCATGGGGCTCTTGTTCAAGGAACTGGACAGGTTAGTGCTGACCACATGCCAGTCTGTATGGCTGGGGAGCCCACCTTCAATCCAGGGTGGTCCAGGGACCATGGTCCCAGGCAAATTTGACCCATAATATTAATTGGCTAGAGCTTCGAGCGGTCCATTTGGCCCTGACACAATTAGAGGATGCTGTCTCAGATAGGGACTTCCTGATCTTGCTTGACAAGGTGTCAACCAAGGCACATTTTAACCGCCAAGGCAGGACACATTCAGGACCCCTGATGTTAGAGGCAGATCAATTCTGCTTATGGGCAGAGATACACCAGGTATCGCTCAGAGCTGTGCTCATTGCAGGCGGGGCCAATGTTGAGACTGACTGGATTAGCAGAGCCACCACTGACCAGGCAGAGTGGCGTTTGCACCCTGATTTATTTCAGGAGCTGTCGGAGCGCTTCGGATTGCCAGCAGCGGATCTCCTCACTTCCCAGGACAACACACAACTCCCAAGGTTCTACTCCAGGTGTGCGGTTCCGGGGGTGGAGGGAATGAACGCTTTACGCAGCCCTTGGCCACGGGAACTCCTGTATGCCTTTCTTCCTCTGCCCCTGATACCGGGGGTCTTCCAGAAACTGTGGGCAGAAGAGCAGAACTTATACTTGTAGCCGTCACTGGCCCAGGAGGCCATGGTTCACAGACTTAGTAAACCATTCCATTTCCAGTCCTGGGTGGATTCTGGTAGACAAGAGTGTCTCTCAGACACGGGCCAATATTGCTTCCAGAGCCCCAGTGGCTTCAGTTGGCCATCTGGAGATTCAGCGGGGATCCCTGATCCGGAACTATCATTCCTCCAGAGTAATAAGAACTATCCAAGCCTCCAGGGGACCCTCCACCAACTGCATGTATGATGCAACCTGGAAGGCTTTCAGCGATTGGTGTTGTAAGTATGACATTGCCCCTTCTGGGGCCTTAATTGCCAGATGCTGGACTTCCTCCAAGAGAGCCTAGACAAGAGACTTTCACCTAACACTCTGCGGAGGCAGGTTGCAGCCTTGCCCTCTGTTCTATTCTGGAGGGAGTGGAATCTTTGTCTAGACATCCCATGGTCTGCAGGTTTCTGAAGGGTTCTACAAACCTGAGGCCTCCAGTGGTCATCGAGATCCCACATGGGACTTCTTTAAAGTACTGCAGTCGCTGACTAAGGCCCCATTCGAACCACTGAGGCCAATTCCCTTGCAGTTTTTTGTCTTGTAAGGTGGCATTTCTGGTAGTGATCACCCCTTCTAGAAGGATTTAGGTCCTGGCAGCCTTGTCTGTCAGGAAAGGCATCTAGACCCTACCTTTTGTACCTAGATTAATACTGGGTTTCTCAGATCCCAACACATAGTGTTACCTGATTTCTGTCCCCTTTCGTTCTGCGACTTAGAGCGCAAGTGGCACTCCCTAGATGTTAGCAGGGCGCTTCGAATTTACATCAGACATCCCTCCACATTTAGCAAAACTGAGGCCATGTTTGTGTCCTTTCCCCTTCCCATTGGGGGCAACAAAGCCTCTCCTCCCACCTTGAGTAGGTGGATCATGGCATGCATCACACAGGCCTCCCAGACACCCCTAGTGGAGATTTGCAGAGTGGCTACGTGGATCTCCCTGTCTCTGTTCATCAGACATTACCGTCTGGACTCCTATGAGTTTGAGGAGTATGACTTTTGGCAGACGGTTGCTTCAGTGAGTGGTTCCAACTTCAGAGAGACTTGCCGGACGAGGACCCTCCCGTGGACATGCGGGCTTTGGTATGTCCCATCCTGGGCTCTCGCAGCAGCATTTAGAAGAATGGGCGTTGGTAAATTTACCTGAGAATGCCCTTTCTATACATGCTGCTAGAGAGCCCAGCCCCTCCCTTATTTCGTCCGGACCATGGTAAGATGTGTTAATGTTAATGTTAAAGATTCTGTTTGGCTTCCAGAGACACTTCCTACAGTCTGTCAAGTACCTTTGCCAAAGCTGGGGGGAAACTCCCACAGGCAGTCCTTTTTATACAAGACAGACCCAGCTTGATGATGTCATCAGGAGGAGTCTAACCCATCCTGGGCTCTCTAGCAGCATCTATAGAAAGGGCGTTCTCAGGTAAATTTACCAATGCCCATTTTATTGAAGAAGGCAGGCTGGTGTCTTTGACTAAAGATTGTCTTTAATTCCAGTAAAAGGAAAAAATCTTTCTTGGCTCTGCCTGCAAAGTGAAACGACAAGCTGTATTCCTTTCTTTAAATTGCTGGCTGGATTTGGTTTCCCTCTTTAGGGGGGTATATGGCCTATTTCTATGGAAATGGCTCAGCACTAAAGAATTTACGACCCTGTTGCTTGGAGACCATCGTCATAGAGGGGCCTCTTTATTACCCTCTTCCTTTGGGTTGAGCTGGGGAACCAACTTTATTGTTTTTCTTTGTGGCTGAAGACTCAGGAAATATCACAGATTCCTGCCCAAATTCCCTCTCTTGTTTGCAAACAGTCATTGATTCAGCAGAGGCAAACCGAAACTTCAAAGTGAGCCAGCAGGATGCAACTTGTCTGTCTCTTGCAAAAAAAGGGGGGAATTTCTGGCCCTCCCAGTAATTCAAACAGGCTTTATAACTTCAGTTGCTCAGAGGGAGATAATTCAGGTTTTAAATTCTTCCTCTTTAGTTTCCTAGCATATCAGAACACTGAGCTTAAGAGTAGTCCATATTTTCACTTTGGGAGTCCAAATTAACTGTCTTTTTACTCTGGGAATTCCAATTAAACTGTCTTTTTACTGTTCTGTCTTTTAATTACTGGCTGAATATAAAGACAGACCGATAAAACTCTACAAAGGCTTCCATACAAAGTTTTCTTTATTGGATTATATTAGGCATCCTCAAGGTATAACTCACAGTTATGTTGAGATTAATGTCCAATTCTTTGCACAGCTGACTTCATAGTGTAAAAAGACAGTTCTCTTCATCCCATAACGATGGAGCAGAGGGAGCCAGCATGCTGCGGGGTCCAAGTAAGGAAAGGGAACAAAGGGCTTCCCCCAACCCAACCAAGGGTCAATTCAGTGACCAATCAGGATTACAGATGTGACCACATGATGACTACATTTCCCATGATGCCTTAACTACATTTCCCATGATGCATTCCCTTAAGGGGACAGCTCCCAATTCTAACTTAACTATCCCAATTCCCAATTACCTATATACTGTCTGGACAGCACACTGTGTATATAAAAAAAGAATGGCTGATATTTTCATAATTACAATTCATTAATTGAAAAAGAAACACTTAAAATGGAAATACTATTAACAAACCAAGGGAGTTTGTTATTTTGTGCCAGTAGTGGCACAAAAATCTTTCCTAGCCAAGACTACTTACCTGGACCAACAGTCCCTAATGGAATGCTCTCTCTATAGCAGAGAGAGAGAAGCCAGGGGAAGCCATGTTTGGTCACCTAACCTTTTTAGAATGCAGCTTAAAAATGTACTGAAGCTTTTTACAGCCTTATATAGATATATATATAGTACAAAAAAAGATAATAGTACAAAAACATCTAAGAAGTTAGATTATGAGTGGAATTGATAGGCACATTCACAGAGCAATACTGAATTCTTTTTCTGAAATTTATTCCTCAGTTTAAAAAACTGGAATATATGAATTCAGTATTGGGCTCTGCTAGTGTAGCTATTGTAGTGTCAAGGTTAGCAAAAATGGTAAAGCAACAGATAGATTTAAATTTTAAAACCAGAAATATTTTTGTTGGTACCCACATAAATAAAGGGAGTACAATACACATTTAATGTTACACGTGTTAACAGTGGCTAGAATTATGTTTGCACAACAGTGGAAAAACGAAGAGATCCCCATAGATGAAAATGAAATTAAAAAATTACAATGTGCAGAAATGGCTAGAGATAAGAGGTAGAAATTAGGCGGAGAATGATCATTGCTATGTATGAATTAAATACAGAAGGTTGATAATTATAAACATGTTGATATAATTAACAAAATTAGAAATAAGCCAATACAAAGAAATTTAAATAATTTTTTGTTACACTGCTGTTACATATTGATACTTATTGATACTTTTTCCTAATAGGAAAAAGCAAAGCAGAAACATAAGCATCAATGTGTAACAGCAGTGTAACAAAAAAATTTCATTTATGAAATATTTTTTAATACTTTATAATATTTTATAATATAATAAAAGTATAATAGAATTACAGAGATAAGGTAAAGTAAGGATATATTGTTATAGAATAGATTGCTGATGATGAAATGAACATTATAAAGTAGATTAAGTAAAAATGGTGATTTGCTCGCATAAAATGATGTAATATTAGTAAAGTCTAGTAAGTAATTAATAGTAATAATATAAATATATATCGTGGATTTATGATATCAGGATTAATGCAAATTGGAAGGGAAAGACTGCAGAGATTGTGCATAAGTGATTTGTACCAACCGACACACTGTATGTAACTGAAGATGGTTTGTTTGCTTTGTTTATGTTTAAAAAAAATAAAAAACTTTTATTTAAAAAAAATTCCATTTATGTATGCATGCAGGTTTTTGTTACATTGCTGTTATATATTGATTTAAGCAGAAACATAACTATCAATGTATAACAACAGCAACGTAACAAAAAGTTGCCTGCCTCATTTTTGGTAAGTTGCTTTTTTATTTATGTATTTTTTTAGTAACTTTTTTGGTTTTTATTAATCATAAAAACAAAACAGATACTAAATAAATAAATAAATACATAAATACATAAATAAATAAAAATTATTTTACTATTCATCTTGATGTTTGTTTCTCCTTTGCTTTTTCCTATTAGGAAAAAGCAAAGCAGAAACAAGTAACAATATATAACAGCAATGTAACATTTTGTTTCCATTTATGTATGCATGCAGGTTTTCAGTAGGTCTACTGTTTTTATCATTCAAAAAAACAAAACCCATACATAAAATTATTATTAATTTTTTTTTAAACAACTGGTTCTTTAGAACCGGTGAGAACCGGTAGAATCCCACCCCTGGAGTATGAGTTTTATAAGGAACCACATGAGCTAGATCAGATTTTAATGGGAACAGATGAAAAATTAATATGTAAATAACGTAGTTGGGTTGACAATATACTGTATAAACTACAAATATATATGTTTGTTGTAGCTTTAAGGAAAAATACTGTCATGTATTATGCTGTGTTCTGGTTGGTTAATTATGCTACAAGTTGCCATAAGAGGGAGCTATAGATCATGGTTTAATTCTCTCTTTTTCACTGATGATCTCTCTTGATACTAATACTGATACTGACTATGGACCGATACTGACTAACTCTGTTTATTTGGATATTCTGTTTATATCGAAGGTTATCTGTTGTATTATGGTTTGATATTTGTCTGCTGTAAAAGATGTGAAACCGGTAAGAAGACTTTATAACTGGATATTTCTGGACTGTTAAAAACGTGTATGACATGGACTATTTATTGGACTTTGCTATTTCTTCAAGTAAACATTAAGACAACTTGTTCAACTCTGTGTGGCTATATTCATAACTGTTCTCATAAACCATTTCTGTGTACATATCCTTTTTATAAAAGGGTTACTCTGCACATATCCTAACAAAGAGGATATATAATTATTTGTTAGCTTTTAGACTGGAGGAAGAACAAGTGAAGAATAAGTGAAGAAAACTATGATAGTTTGGGCTAGGAGTTTTGGCTGTGCAATAGAATTGGACAGGTGGCAGAAATTATGGAATAGAAACTATAAGCTTACAATGTCAGCAGCGTATAAAAAAAGTCTCTATAAAATGTTTTATGGATGGCACTTTTCACCTGCAAGATAGCGAATATGTATAAAAATAAATCTGAAATGTTGGAAATGTGGCCAAGTGCCAGGTTCATGTTACCATATGTGGTAGATGTGTCCCAAAGCAAAAAAATATTGGAAGAAAATTCGCATATGGCTGGAAACTATGACAAAACAACACATAGACTTGAAACCTGAGATATTCCTGCTGGGCATGCTACCAGAAAATTATAATAAAGGTAATACATATTTAATTCTACATATTCTAACAGCAGTCAGGATTGTATACGCACAATACTGGAAAAATGAAGAGACCCCTACAGATGATAGTATAGTCAAAAGGGTACTGGAATGTGCAGAAATTGATAGGTCGACCCTAGGAATTAAGGAAAAAGAAGACTTGGAGTGTTTTATGGCATGGGAACTTTTTTGCAGATGGCTGGTTGATGGATGCAGAGGTTGGATGACTGGATTTGTGTGAAAATATGGTGTGGTGACCCGGGGCATGGCACAAAAGCAACACAGTCCCTTTATTAGCTCCAACTTTGCCCCCAAATGTCCTGGTTACCTTCTGGCTGGAGAAAAACTCTCCCAAGAACAGCCTTTGGCTGCAGAGAATCAAGTCCAAAACGTGGTCAACAAAAACTGTAACTATAAATCCAATCAAGGCAAAATGAGGTAATTAGTCAGACAGGGCAGGAGCAAGAATTCCAGACATGAAGGCATGGCAATAAGTCAACATGGTTGGGAAAATGCCAGGAACACAGATAAGCAAAATCAACACAGACTCATGGTAGCTCCCAGCAGCTGCCGCACTCAGCATGCATTTCTTTTAAACTCTCATTCCCAGCTATGGCTAATGAAGGGAATTGTGGTCCTTTCCTCCTCCGTAAGCCATGCAAC